TGGTGAACCGGGTTGATAAATTACTGGGAGGGGCTGGGCATGACCCAACTGTCTTGGTCCATGTTGGAACCAATGACAGAATACACGAAAGGTGGAGGCTCCTTAAGAATCAATTTAAAGAACTAGGCTGCAAGTTGAAGGGAAGGACCTCCAAGGCGATATTCTCTGAAATATTACTTGTGCCATGCGCAACTTAGGAAAGACGGGGAGAGTAGAGAACTGAATGCATGGCTAAAGACCTGGTGTAAGAGGGAAGGATTTGGGTTTCTATAGCACTGGGCTGACATTTCATTGGGGTGCAACCTATATGTAGAGATGGTTTGCACCTAAATGGAGGTAGGGCTGCTATGCTGGGGGAGAGGTGTATGGGATGGTTGGGGGAGTATTTAACTAGGACCGAGGGGAAAGGGAGAATTAGATTATAATGGGGCAGAGAGATCAGACAGGGGTCAGTCCTTATTGGTGGGTGGAATGGGGAAAGATGGAGGAGGGATAATGTAGGTGATAAGAAGGTTCCCATGTTACAAACAACCATTGGAATTGGTACCATTTGTATGAAAATTAAAAATATGCAAAATACATGTGTAAAAGGTGTCAATGAATTAATGTGTTTGTTCACCAATGCCAGAAGTCTGCCAAGCAAAATAGGTGAGTTGGAAGCTTTGGTGCATGAAGAGAACTATGATTTTATTGGTATTGCTGAATCTTGGCTTCATTCTTCACATGACTGGGCCATTAATATCCCTGGCTATGTTCTCTTTCAGAGAAACAGGGTAAAAAGGAAAGGTGGTGGTGACTGTCTCTGTGTGACAAGTGATCTCAAAGCATGTGTGAAAGAGGACCTAGTTGATGGAGAGTGTGATGAGGCTGAAGCATTATGGGTGGAACTGCAAATGGGGATGTGTACTACAATGGTAATCATTGGAGTTTGTTATAGGCCTCCCAGTGTTAACGAGGAGGTGAAGACTCAGCTCCTTGCACAGATCAATAGGGCTGCAAGGACTGGCACAGTGATAATAATGGGGGATTTTACCTATCTGAAAATTGACTGGAGTAATGGCACTGCAGGAACAGTTAAACGGCAAAAATTTATAAACTACTACAGGACAATTTTATGGTACAGTTCATAGAGGCTCCAGCTAAGAATGAAGCTCTGCTGGACCTGGTAATCTCAAGCCATACAGAGTTTACTACGACTGTCCATATAAAAGAACATCTGGGTAGCAGTGACCATAACATAGTTTCATTTATTGTTAGCTGTAAACCACAAGCTCATATGGGAAAAATAAAAACTCTCAAGTTTAAGAGGCTGAGAGCTGCTCTCCAAGACTTAGACTATGAGGGAATATTGGTATCAATGAACACCACACAAAAATGGAAGTTTTTCAAAAAGACTGTATGTGAACACACTGCGAAATATATTCCCATGGGCAACAAATTTAAAAGGCTAAAAATAAAACCTATGTGGCTTACGGACAAATTTAAAAAAGCTATAAACAATAAGAAAAAAGCTTTTATAAAACATAAAAATGAAGCAACACTTTCATTGTTTAAACATTACAAAGAATATAATAGAATATGTAAAAAGGAAATCAAGGCCACAAAAATTGAAAACGAATGACAGATTGTAAAGGATAGCAGAACCAACCCCCAAAAATTCTTCAAATGTATTAATAGTAAAAAGGTCATGTAGGCCCTTTTACAAAATAATCTAGAGTGGGTGACTGGGGACGAAGAGAAGGCAAATTTATTAAATACCTTCTTCAGCTCTGTGTATACAAAGGAGCATGGGGGAGCTCTTGTCCATAATGGGCATGGTATTGACAAAGCCCTAGATGATCCACATTGGCTCACAATTGATATGATCCAAAATATTTTGATAGACTAAAGGTAAATAAAGCACCTGGACCAGATGGCATACACCCATGGGTCCTTAAATAATTGAGCTCTGTCATTTCAAAGCCATTATTTCTACGTTTTAGGGACTCTTTAATGACTGGCATAGCACCGCTGGATTGGCGTAAGGCCAATGTGGTGCCTATATTTAAAAAGAGCTTGAAATCACTACCAAGTAATTGTAGACCTGTTAGTTCAACTTCTATAGTTGGGAAGATACTGAAGATTTTAATAAAAGACCAATATATGACTTTTTGCTTTAAAAAAAATAAGCAACAGACAGCATGGATTCATGAAAGACAGAAGTTGCCAAAAAAAATCTGATTTCTTTTTATAAGGAGGTGAGAAAAACCTCGGACAGAGGGGTGGCTGTGGACATAGTATACTTGGATTTTTCAAAAGTGTTTGACACAGTTCCCCACACACGGCTAATGTGTAAGGTAAAGTCTACAGGCTTGGAAAAATCAGTATGTACCGTATTTTCCGGCGTATAAGACGACTTTTTACCCCTTGAAAATCTTCTCAAAAGTCGGGGGTCGTCTTATACGCCGGTATACGGCATACTGACACTTTTTAGGGGGGCGGCGCACTGCCGCCGCCGCCCCCCCTTCCAATGGAAGGGACACTAAGTACAGGGGTGGGCTGGGGCTGCTGTTTCTTACCTGGCTCCGGTCCCACGACAATCTGGTCCAGGAAGCGCGGCTGCTTGGCTCCGCCTCCTCACCGGTGATTGGCTGCCAGAACTGTAGCTCGGGAAAGGCACACAGGCGGCCAATCACCGATGAGGGGGCAGAGCCGAGTGGCCCCGCGAAAATCGAGAGAAGGAGCGGCCGGTAAGTGTGCCGTGTCAAGGTGCTGCTGCAACCACATATGCTGGCTGTAGCAGCACCATACTATAACAGAGGTCAGCAAGTGTAATTGGTGTCAGTGGGAGGAATAGTGCCCCATCATTGGTGTCACTGATACCAATGATGGAGCACTATTCCTCCCACTGACACCAACGATGGGGCACTATTCCTCCCCCCCCACTGACACCAACGATGGGGCACTATTCCTCCCCCCCCACTGACACCAATTATGGGGCACTATTCCACCCCCCACTGACACCAATGATGGGGCACTATTCCTCCCACTGACACCAATGATGGGGCACTATTCCTCCCACAGATACCAATGATGGGGCACTATTCCTCCCCCACTAATACCAATGATGGGGCACTATTCCTCCCACTGACACCAATGATGGGGCACTATTCCTCCCACTGACACCAATGATAGGGCACTATTCCCCCCACTGATACTAATGACGGGGCACTATTCCTGCCACTGATACCAATGATGAGGCAGGATTCCCCCCACTGACACCAAAGATGGGGCACTATTCCTCCCACTGATACTAATGATGGGGCACTATTCCTCCCACTGACACCAATGATGGGGTGCTATTCCTCCCACTGACACCAATGATGGGGCACGATTTGTCGCTCTGACACCAATGATGGGGCACTATTCCTCCCACTAATACCAATGATGGGGCACTATTCCTCCCACTAATACCAATGATGGGGCACTATTCCTCCCACTGACACCAATGATGGGGCACTATTCCTCCCACTAATACCAATGATGGGGCACTATTCCTCCCACTAATACCAATGATGGGGCACTATTCCTCCCGCTGACACCAATGATGGGGCACTATTCCCCCCACTGATACGAATAATGAGGCACTATTCCTCCCACTAATACCAATGATGGGACACTATTCCTCCCACTGACACCAATGATGGGGCACTATTCCTCCCACTGGTGTGCATTGCTAGAGGGGTAGTCTTATACGGCGAGTATAGCCCAAACACTACATTTTAGCAGGAAAAGTAGGGGGTCGTCTTATACGCCCAGTCGTCTTATACGCCGGAAAATACGGTATATGGATAGAAAACTGGCTAAAAAGATCGTATTCAGAGAGTAGTGGTAAATGATTCATACTCTGAATGGTCTGGGGTTGTCAGTGGTGTACCCCAGGGTTCAGTGTTGTAACCCTTACTCTTTAATATATTTATAAACGATATAGGGTCTGGGATTAAAAATACAGTTTCCGTGTTTGCATACGTCTCCAAGCTTTGCAGTGGAATAACGTCCTTACAGGATGTCTCCAACTTACAAGCTGACCTCAATGCACTGTTTAATTGGGCAACTATGTGGCAAATGAGGTTTAATGTTGATAAATGTAAAGTTATGCACTTAGGGGCTAAAAATATGCATGCATCATACATACTAGGGGGGGGGTACAACTGGGGGAATCAATGGTGGAGAAGGATCTGGGGGTTCTTGTAGATCATAAGCTTAACTATGGCATGCAATGCTAAGCTGCAATTTCTAAAGTGAGTAAAATCCTCTCTTGTATTAAAAGAGGTATAGACTCCAGAAAGAGATATCATATTACCCCTGTACAAATCATTAGTAACACCTCATCTGGAATATGCAGTTCAATTTTAGGCGCACATTCACAAAAAGAATACTGGGGAACTGGAAAAAGTGTTGAGAAGGGCAACCAAACTGATAAGAGGCATGGAAGAGCTCGTTATGAGGAATTGAATGTATTCTCTCTTGAGCAGAGGAGATTAACCACCCTGGCGGTATGATTATTTCAGATTTTTGGTGCTGAAAGTGGTACCATTATTTTGCATGGAAATATGTAGTTTTTTTATTGTAGGCTGTAATTTTTAGGAATAACTCACTGAAATCTGTCCGAATAAGAGTCTATTAAACATCCCGGGTATGATAAAATTTGAAACACGAAATCATAAATTATAATTTAATAAATAATCATAAAAAATAATAATATAATAATAATACATTTAATTCAATAATATAATCAAACTAAAAACACTGAAATTTGAAATAGAGCGCCAAGTTCGCACATTGCTGAGCAAAGTCGCAAAATCGTTTTCAGTGTCTGATGACGAATTTCCCCACGAATCATTATCACTCAATTCTGCAAGTGGTTCTGATTTAATATCGCTGTTCTCTAGCTGGTCTAAAACCGCTTTTGACCTAAAAGGACGCTTTTTGGACGTCATGGACTTTTCTAAGTTTCCAGGCAGAAAGAACAGTCAAAATGCAGGCAGGGCGCAGGACAAAGCACTCAGGACAAAATGTATGTGAAATGGGTTGAAACAGCAATGTTTTACTATGTAAAATTAGTTTGAAAAAAAAATGACATTTTTTAAAATTTTCTAATTTCCCGCCGCCAGCGGCGCCCGTATGTCCCGACGTCACAGGGACCGGAACACAGAAGCCGGATGTCGGCATCGGCAGGAGGAGATGGCCGGGGACGCTGCAGGGGACACATCGCAGGAGCGCAGGACAAGGTAAGCTCTGCAGGGAATCCCTATGCGGCGCAGCATGGTAAGCCCAAGTGTAGCTCGGGGTTACCGCTTTTGGTACTGACATTTTACCCCGAGCTACACTCGGGAATACCGCTAGGGAGGTTAAGGGGGGATATGATCAACATGTATAAATACATCAGTGGTTCATATAGTGAACTCTGTGTATAGTTATTCACCTTAAAGTCATCAAAGAGGACACGGGGGCACTCTTTGGAGGAAAAGAGATTGAATCTCCAAATACGGAAAGGTTTCTTCACAGTAAGAGCTGTGAAAATGTTTAATAGACTCCCTCAAGAGTTGGTTCTCACCAGCTCAGTAGATTGCTTTAAAAAAAAGCCTGGATTCTTTCCTAGATACACGTAATATAACTAATAAATATTGGTAAAGTTGATCCCGGGAAAATCAGATTGCCCTTCGGGGATCAGGAAGGAATTTTCTTCCTCTGCAGGAACAAATTGGATCATGCTTTGCTGTTTTTTTTGCCTTCCTCTGGATCAACTGTGGGTATAGGAATTATAACTTTTTTTTTTTTTAATGGTTGAACTAGATGGACTTTTTTCTTTTTTCAGTCAGACTAACTATGTAACTATAACTAACTAATGTTGCTGATTACATGGATTAAAGGAACTGAATAGTTTTGGTCTTTGGACAATGTCATGAACCCCCCCCACTCTCCCTTCTGAAATTGCAGCTGCTAGATTGGTATCCTTGCTGATACTTGCTGAAACTAATGACACCTGCTGAAAATACTTGCTGATACTGCCGATACTTGCTTATGCCTGCTGATACCGGCTGATGTTGCTCATACCTGCTGATACTGTTGATACCTGCTGATACCTGCTGAACTGCCGATACCTGCTGATATCTGCTGATAACTGATGAACTGCCGATACCTGTTGATATCTGCTGACACTGCTCATACCTGCTGATACTGCTGATATTGCTCATGTCTGCTGATACCTGCGGATGCTGCTAATATCTGCTGATACCTGCTCATGCCTGCTGATATTGCCCATACCTGCTGATACATACTGCTGATATCTGCTGAGACTGCTGATATTGCTCATGCTTGCTGTTGCTGCTGATACTGCAGATATCTGCTGATATTGCTGATACTGCTCATACCTGCCAATACTGCTGATGTCTGCTAATACCTGCTGATACTGCTGATAATGCTGAAACTGCTTATACCTTAAGACATTGCTGATATATGCTCATATATGCTGTTACTGCGGATACCAGGTAATACTGCTGATATTGTTCATACCTGCTGATACTGCTGATATTGCTGATACCAATCATACCTGCTGATTCTGATGATACCTGCTGATACTGCTCATACCTGCTGATACTGATCATACCTGCTGATTCTGCTCATACCTGCTGATACTGCTCATACCTGCTGATACTGCTCATACTTGCTGATACTGCTCATACCTGCTGATACTGCTGATATCTGCTTATACTGCTCATACCTGTTGATATCTGCTGATACTGCTCATACCTGCTAATACTGCTGATATCTGCTATGATACTGCTCATACCTGCTAATACTGCTGATATCTGCTTATACTGCTCATACCTGTTGATATCTGCTGATACTGCTCATACCTGCTAATACTGCTGATATCTGCTGATACTGCTCATACTGTTGATACCTGCTGATACTGCTCATACCTGCTAATACTGCTGATATCTGCTTATACTGCTCATACCTGTTGATATCTGCTGATACTGCTCATACCTGCTAATACTGCTGATATCTGCTTATACTGCTCATACCTGTTGATATCTGCTGATACTGCTCATACCTGCTAATACTGCTGATATCTGCTTATACTGCTCATACCTGTTGATACCTGCTGATACTGCTCATACCTGCTGATACTGCTGATATCTGCTTATACTGCTCATACCTGTTGATACCTGCTGATACTGCTCATACCTGCTGATACTGCTGATATCTGCTTATACTGCTCATACCTGTTGATACCTGCTGATACTGCTCATACCTGCTAATACTGCTGATATCTGCTTATACTGCTCATACCTGTTGATATCTGCTGATACTGCTCATACCTGCTAATACTGCTGATATCTGCTTATACTGCTCATACCTGTTGATATCTGCTGATACTGCTCATACCTGCTAATACTGCTGATATCTGCTTATACTGCTCATACCTGTTGATATCTGCTCATACCTGTTGATATCTGCTCATACCTGTTGATATCTGCTTATACCTGTTGATATCTGCTGATATCTGCTTATACCCGCTGATACTGCTCATATCTGCTGATATCTGCTAATACGTGCTGATATCTGCTGATACTGCTGACATCGTCTGTAGCTACTCTTGCTGCTTCAGCTGGGCCACCTTGCTATACTAGTGTTGTTGATAGCGGCTGCTGTTACCGCTGATCTTGTTAATCCTGCCTTGTGCTCTGTTATATTACTGCTACATTACAAAATTACTGCTGTTACTCTATTGGTGACTCTCCTGCTACATCCCTGTCATACTGCCTCTATACTACTGCTGACAATTGCTGACGCTGAATTGCCCTACTAAATAATTGACAACAGTTTCTGTCGCTGTTATATTGCTTTGGTGTATCATTGCTATGGCTTTGTACTACGTTTGTGATTCAGCCAAACTCAGCTATTAAATGTAACTTCTATATTAAGATGAGTAAGAGCAGTAAGATGAAGACTAGGAAGGCAGTTGTTGGTGAACTACCAGAAGCCAGGACAGATATTGGAGACTTTTTTCATTGCACATGGGAACATAGTACACCTCACCACCACCTCAGTACAGAGTCAATCAGGAGTAGTCATAATGGGCATGAGACTCCACCATCCCAGCATTTACCTCACAGCCATAGTAATGCTCAGCAAGCATAGGAGAAAGACAGGAACGCTCTGACTCGGTAAGTGAGGAAAAATGCCATGTTATAGAGGCTCGCTTTGAAAAATACTTAAGTATGTTACCTACTAAAAAAGATTTAGAATTGATGTTTCATTGAATGGAGGACAGTCATAAAAAGGATATGGTTGAGCTTCAGCGGAGCTTACAGAGCTTCCATGAATGAGTGGAAGTGGTGGAGCAAATTAATCCATCAGTAGTAAAGGGCCAGTCAGAGTTAGTCTACTATTGATGATCATTATTTCCAATTACAAGCTTTGTGGTCACATATTGATGATATGTGTCAGGGCAGGGGCCGAGGAACGGACAGGCAGGCCTAACAATGTAACGCACTGGCTGACGACAACCACCACCCACAGACCGAAGTCCCTCAGGGCGCGGAGTCTAAGTCCCAGGCTGCCCTTCACCAGGGCCCCTGATGGTGGGGATGGACTTGACGCAGCCAGGAACCAGGTCGCGGCCCCCGAGACACCTCAGCTGCGGTAATGGCCGCCGCCAATGGCGTGTAGCTGGTGGAAGAGACAAAAGAGTAGTCAGACAAGCCGGGTCAACAACAACAGGACAAAACAGTACAGGACAGCAGACGAGAATCACAGGTCACGAGCCGGGTTCAGCAACAGAGGGTCAGATCAAAGGAGAATACAAAGAATAGTCAAGTCACAAGCCGAATCAGATACCAGGAGAGTCACGAGAGTCAGAACAGAGTAATAGCGACACAAAGACACAAGACGCAAGTGCAAAGAGCATGTGTGGGCCACAGGCTTATATGTCATCAGCCACACCCCTCTGGGGGATGGACCACAGAGACCTGAAGGCTTAAAAGGATTCCCACCATGCACAGCAGAATCCAAGATGGACGCCAGCACATGGAGTAACATAACCTCAGGGAAAAGGTAGGACCTTGACAATATGGAGGACTGTAATAGACTAAATATCCATATTAAAGGCATCCCGGAAGAGATTGATAAAGAGGAACTTTTGCCATTAATTTTGAATACTATTTTAGGTAAACAAAAACAACGGATGATATAGAAATCGAGCGGGTACATTGAATTCCAGGATCAGTCAACCCTGCTGTAGCCCAACCAAGAGATGTGATCTGTAGGATACACTTTTACAAATGCAAGGAAGAAATTATGCAAAAGGCACTTGATCATGGTGTTATAGAATCTAATAGGGCACAAATTATGCTATATTCAGATCTTTCCTGACGAACTCTAAAGCTAAACTGCGAGCACTGAGACCTTTAACCCGGACCCTAATGGAGGCAAGCATATCCTATAATTGGAGATCACCTTTTCAATTGATGGCTCGTAAAAATGGTTGTGTTTATATACTTTGCTCGCCAACTGATCTCCCAATTTTCTTGAAAAATCTAGGAATTGCACAAGTAGAGATAAAATCTTGGCCTGATCTCCCTGGACCACAGTTTTCGGAGCTGGCACACTGGGAACCATGGCATTCAACAAGAGCTCCAACTCAGCGCTTATTAAAAATACCACTAAGTGGAGCTGTGAAATCAAAATGAAAATATGTTTCAAGATGGGGGGCAGGGAGAGAGAGGAAGAAGGAGGGGGAGAGGAAGGGGAAGGAAAGAGGGAAGAAAAAGAAGGAAAAACGTTAAAAAGGTTTAAACCATGGTATCTCAACTAAGGCAATATCCAGGTTTCCGTAGTGTATAATACTGATTGTTATGACCTAGCAGATTTAAACACAAGACTTGATGGCTCAATATCCACATGAACTGTATAAGGATTTATATGACTGGAAACAGTGGGAGTTTCTCTTTTTAACCCACTGGTAGTAACCCCTAAGGTTTGAGGGTGTGAAATTATTATCAAATACAAAGAAAAATATCAAAATTTTTTGTATATTACTGTGATGAATCTTAAATTTGTCTCTCTAAAAGTCAGAGGTATGTATACGCCACAAAAGCAATCTCAGATAATATATGTTATGCATAAACAAAGAGTTCATATTCTCTTTTTACAGGAAAACCATTTTAAATCTACGTCAGTTCCTTGAATGCCTATCAGATACTACTCATCTTGGTTTAGGAGCCATAACCCAAAGAGCAAATCAAGAGGGGCTGCTATTGGTCTACACTCCTATATCCCGGTCTCTGTGGTTCAGGAACAT